TGCAGGGAAGAAAGGTATACCCCCCAAAAAGGGTTCGATCGAAGACGAAGAGGGCGGGTATCGAAGGTTTGGAAAATACGCGTTATTGGACACTCGAGCATATAAGGGCGAACAGTCTTAAAAATAATGTTGTTGTTGTTGTTGCTGTTGTTGTAAACCATGGGCTAGGGGCATAGTTTGATCAGGAATGCTTTTCCAGAGAAATAACAGGGTGCGAGACCCGGGAGGGGCACTTCAATTCAAACATACATATGTTACAAGAGGGGAGGGATCAACAAACAATTTTTCTTCAGTAGTGAGAGTTCAGCAATGACAGCAACAATCATGCTAAGACTGTCCGCGCTGCTCCGCTCGCGTACCACTCAACACGTTTATCCCAAACCCTCGATGCCCGCCCAACAGCAACAAAACAAGAAAAACAACAAAAACACGGGATCGGGCGTCTCGGCCTTCCTTCTCCAGGATCCAACAGCATAGAGTCAGGAAATCTGGCCGAATCTGGATGTGTGTCGGATCGGGCCACCTCGGCGCGGAGTCGAGAGCGGATCGGCCCCGCCGCGCCAGCAGCGCCGTGCAAGCGGCTTTTCCAAGACGCTCGCGCGGTCGCCTGCTCCGCTTCCCGACGCTCGGAGGCGTCACAGGAGGCGCCCCACAGGGCCCCAGCACACGCCAAGAGGGCACGGGAACGAGCCTCGCCATCCCAAAGGGGTGCTGCTACACGCGGCCGAAGGGTCCTACCGCCCCCATCCCACCCCCGTGCTCCTCCTCGCGCCCCCTCCTCCTCGTGTCTTCCCCCCCCCCCCCCCGCATTCTAGATGGGGTCGGAGATAGTGGGGTCGGAGGATCGCGCCGCACCGTCGATACATCGACGATGCATCGGCGATGCATCGGCGATGCACCGGCGATGCATCGTCGACGTGGGCGATGCATCGGCCATGTCGACGTGAAGCAATCAGGGCTACACATCGAGCCGCATCGCCGATGCATTGGCGATGCGTCGCGATCCTCCGACCCCATCTACTCCGACACATCCAGGAGGCCTGGAATGACTCCTCATGCTCGCGCCTCTATTCCTCGCCCATTACCCTGCTCGCGTCGCGGATATGTAAGTGTATATATATATATATATATATATGTATAGAACCACGCGCGCGCTTCGCGCGCGCTTAGGTTCTAGCCGCGCACATGGGACTCGCATCAGAAGTTGCGAATGTCCCAGTCAGAGATGCAAGGGCCAATTGTGCCAGAAGTTATTGCTTATGCCCACTCGATTGGACAGCAGAAGCTGTCCCGGAGGCGCATGGGATTCCTCGTGGTGAGTCTCTCAGGGGCCTCCTGGAAGCAGATCCGAAGCCTCTTGTGACCCGTGTGTGTGCCTGTTCGAAGTTGGTTTGGGGCATCTTGGGAGTCTCTCGGGGGCTTCCTGGCGGCTTCTTGGGGGTCTCTTGGAGTGTCCTGGGCGCCTCCTGGGGGCCGCTTGGGGCCTCCTGGGAGCCTCTTGGAGCCGAAGGCTCGAGAAGTCCGCGAAGATCCCGCGTCAGGACCCCTTCTTGGAGCCGTCTTGGGGCCGTCTTGGGCCGTCATGGGGGCCTCGTGGGCCGTCTTGGGGCCGTCTTGGGGCCGTCTTGGGGCCGTCTCAGGCCGTCTTGGGGCGGTCTTGGGGGCCTCTTGGGCGGTCTTGGAGCGTCCGATCCCCGAAAAGGCGAGAACCCAAAAAACCTTCAAAAACAATGGAAAATCAATGTTGTTTGCCTCTTGGGACCCTCTTGGGAAGGCCTCTTGGAATCCGCTGGCCGCGTTTTGGAGGCCACTGAAGCCGTCTTGGGATCATCGTGGGCGTCTTGGAGCGATCTTTGGGCGTCTCGGGGCCCTCTGGGACCACTTGGGGGCCTCCTCGGCCTTCTTGGGGCCGTCTCGGAGCCCCTGGGGACGCCGCCAAGGGAGGGACCCACGCATATACAAGGGAGGTTCTGGCCCGGGGCGCGGGGGCCGGGATCTCCTATATATGTATATATGTATGTATGTATATATATATATATATATATATATATATATATATATACATGCATACATATATGCATATATATATATATATATATATATATATATACAAGGCGCTCGGAGAGGCCATCCTCGGCCTCCAGGGGGGGCCGCTGCCATAGGCCCCGTGGGGGCTTCAAAGGGACGGCTCGGGGAACGAGGTGCTGGTCCGGGGGAAGCGGTCGAGGCCTGCTGGGAGGAGACCACGAAGGGGGGAGAGTGTTGGGCGGGGGCGGGGGGGCGCTCTTCGAGGGTCGTCTCGGGGGAAGACGAGGGAGAGGAGGAAAGGGGAGGAGGGAAACTTCTCCTCCTCTTCCTCCTCCTGCACCTCCTC